AATATTCTAAACTAATCTCATGTCTTTTGGTGGCTGAGCAACATAATGCTCTTTTAATGAAAGATCATGAAGCTCGTCCCACTGGAGCTGCTCCATTATCGGAGGCAAATGTGGTGGAAGCACGTGATCAATCTGAAGTAAAAAGAGATCATCATCGGAGATATAATAATGCACGGGGACGTGGCAAAGATAAAAGACAAATACACTAATTGTAAAGGTGGTGGTCATAATAAAAGGGAGAACAAAATGAGTTCTCAAAATAACCCCTCAAAAAGTAATTGTCGTCGTTGTGACATGAAAGGCCATTGGAAGAATGAATTTCTCACACATGAGCATTTTGTAAGGCTCTATAAAAATTCCTTTAAAAAGAAAGGAAATAAAAGTGGTGCTTCCTTTTCCAATGCTCGAGCTGAGTCACATATGACTCTTAAAGATGATGATAAGCTGGGAACATCTCAGAAATATGATAAGGATGTTGAAGCAAATTTGGCTTTAAAGGATGATGTTTTTTATGGCCTTGGTGACATTACTCATATGGAAGTTGATGACTTCTTTGGAGATCGAAACCGATGTTTGATATTTTAGCAGGGGAATGAAGTATGTTAATATTTTACATTGTATTTTACTTATGTATTTTTAATTATTATGTTATTTTTGTTGAAGTATTTAAATTTCCGTTGTTAATTTTGTTTCTTCCTTCTTTTAATGTATTTTATTTTAATGAAAATTAATAGAAATCCCCAGTTGTCAGTTGGATTCAAGATGAGTAATGGAGATGTACGCCTTCTTGATAGTGCTACAACGCATACAATATTAAAAGAAAAGAAATATTTTTCTAATTTGGTTATGAAAATGGCATATGTCAACTCAATATCAGGTAGTACAAAATTAATTGAGGGCTCTGGAAGAGCGACCTTATTACTACCTGGAGGGACAATATTAAGCATTGATAATGCATTATATTGTAGTAAGTCTCAAAGAAACTTATTAAGTTTCAAAGTTATTTGTCAAAATGGCTATCATGTTGAGACGGCTAATGAAGGAAAGGTTGAATACCTTTACATTACTATAATTAATGTAGAGAAGAAAATTGTGCATGAAAAATTACCTGCATTTTCTTCTGGGTTGTACTATACAAGTATAAGTACAGTTGAATCACATGCCGTAGTAAACAAAAGATTTACTAATTTTAATGATTTTATCATTTGGCATGACCGGTTGGGCCATCCCGGATTTAATATGATGCGAAAAATCATTGAGAATTAACATGGACACACCTTAAAGAGCCCAAATATCCTTCAATCAAAGGAAATTTCTTGTGCTGCTTGTTCTCAAGGAAAGTTTATCATAAAACCATCAATAGTTAAGGTTGGAATTGAATCCCCTGTGTTTCTGGAACGTATACAGGGTGATATATGTGGACCAATTCAACCTGCATGTGGACCCTTTAAATATTATATGGTCTTGATAGATTTTTCTACAAGATGGTCACAGGTGTGTTTATTATCAACTCGCAACATGGATTTTGCGAGATTACTGGCTCAAATCACAAGATTGAAAACACAATTTCCAGAATATACAATAAAGACAATCCTTCTAGATAATGCTGGTGAGTTTACATCTCAGGCATTTAATGATTATTGTATCTCTACTGGTATAACAGTTAAAAATCCAGTTGCGCATGTTCAAACTCAAAACTGTCTAGCAGAATCATTGATTAAACGTCTCCAATTGATAGCTAGACCAATATTAATGAGAATAGAGTTATCTGTGTCTATGTGGGGGCATGGTATTTTGCATGCAGCAGCACTTGTGCGCATAAGGCCGATCAATTATCATGAATTCTCCCTATTACAATTGACTTTTGTTCAAGAGCCAAACATTTCCCATCTTAGAGTTTTTGGATGTGCGGTGTATGTCCCAATTGCTCCACCACAACGCATAAAGATGGGGCCCCAAAGAAGGTTGGGGATATATGTTGGGTATGAATCTCCTTCAATCATAAAATATTTGAAGCCTATGACTGGAGATTTATTTATGGCAAGATTTGCTGATTGTCATTTTGATGAATCTATATACCCAACATTAGGGGGAGAACATAAGTCGTTGAGAAAAGAGACATATTAGAATTCATCATGTCTATCTCATCTGGATCCTCGAACAAACCAATGTGAGCAAAAAGTTCAAAGAATAATTTATTTGCAGAACATTGCAAATCAGCTACCAGATGCATTTACTAATCTTCTAAGGATTACTAAATCTCATATTCCAGCTGTTAATGCTCCAGTTCAAGTTGATATCCCGACGGGACAAATTGTTAAGGCAAATGAGTCTAGACCACAGTTGAAGCGTGGTAGACCAATTGATTCCAAGGATAAAAATCCTCGAAAGAAAAAAGGAATAAATGATCAAGATGATCATGGGTTGAAAGAAATTTCTCAAGATGAGACCCAAGTCATAACACATGATGATGAGGAGGTTCGAACTTCTGAAAATTATGAAATTTCAATGAATTATGTCTCGACGAGAAAGTTGTGGAATCGAATAATGTTGTGATTTACAACATATTTGCCTATAATGTTGCTATTGAAATAATGCAACAAGATGAAGATTTTGAGCCAAAATATGTTCACGAATGTAGACAGAGAAATGATTGGCCAAAATGGAAGGATGCAATTCAAGCTGAATGGGCTTCACTAGAAAAACGTGAAGTTTTTGGACCGATAATCCAAACACCTGAAGGTATCAAGCCAGTGGGGTACAAATGAGTTTTCGTACGAAAAAGAAATGAGAAAGGTGAAGTCATGAGATATAAGGCCTGACTCGTTGCTCAAGGTTTTTGTCAAAGACCTGACATTGATTATATGGAGACATATTCTACAGTAGTAGATGCAATCACCTTCAGATATCCATAAATCTGGCAGTTCATGATAAACTTGAAATGCGTCTAATGGACGTTGTCACAACCTATCTATATGGCTCATTGGACAACAACATTTTCATGAAAATTCCTGAAGCATACAAACATTCAAGAGAAACTTGTTCAATAAAGCTTCGGAAATCTCTGTATGGATTGAAACAATCATGAAGGATGTGGTACAATCGTCTGAGTGAATATTTGTTAAAGAAAGGGTACAAAAATGTATTTTATTTTGTTAAAATTTTGTATTTTATTAAAATTCTGTGTCGGCTGAATATCAGCCATATGTAGAAAGAAATAATTTTATTTTTATCGTGTTGCGTCGGCTATAAAAAGCCAAATTGTATAAAAGTCGTAAAGTAAATAGTTTGTCGGCCAATCATGTAAAAAGTTTGTCGGCCAATTATATAAAGTAGTAATAGTAAGTATTTTGTTTTCTTGTGTCGGCCGAATAAAGAGAGACCATGTGTAAAGTATGTGTCGGCCACTTTTGGCCAAAAGTTTGTAAATTTTGTGTATAAATAGAGGAGCTTTCCTCATAAATAAAACACACCTTCATCCTTACATCTCTCATTTTTCTGAATACTCTCTTTACGCTTCCATCCCCTCCATTGGTAACTTGTTCATCAATCAACGTACACAGAAAAGATACTAAAGCGTTTTTACATGGATAACTCACATCCATTGAGTACTCCAATGGTGGTAAGATCGCTTGACATCAATACAGATCCATTTCGACCTCAAGAGAATGATGAAGATTTTCTTGGTGATGAAACTCCTATCTTAGTGCGATCGGGGCACTAATGTACCTTGCTAACAATACTCGACAAGATATCTATTTTGCAGTAAGTCTACTGGCAAGATTCAGTTCCTCCCCAACAAAAAGACATTGGAATGGTGTTAAACACATACTTCGATATCTTCAGGGGACCATGGACAAGAGTTTATTCTATTCCAATGAATTCAAATCAGAACTGATTGGTTACGCACATGCAGGGTATTTATCTGATCCGCATAAATCTCGATCACAAACAAGCTATTTATTTACATGTGGAGACACGACAATATCTTGGCAATCAATGAAGCAAACGTTTGTAGCCACTTCTTCAAATCATGCAAGAATAATAGCCATCCATGAAGCAAGTCGAGAGTGCGTCTGGTTGAGATCAATGACCCATCATATTCAGGAAATGTGTGATTTTTCTTTGAAAAAGAATATACCAACTACAATATACGAAGATAATGCTGCATGTATAACTCAATTGGAAGGAGGATACATCAACGGAGACCGGACAAAGCATATCTCACCAAAGTTTTTTCACGCATGATCTTCAACAAAATGTTGAGATAGAAGTTCAACAAATTCGTTCAAGTGATAATCTTGTTGATTTATTCACTAAGGCATTGCCAACATCAACGTTTGAGAAGTTGAGATACAAGATCGGAATGCGCCGTCTCCGAGATATCAAGTACAATTTTCATCAGGGGGAGCGAAATACGCGTTGTACTCTTTTCCTTAACTATAGTTTTGTCCCAAGTTGGATTTTCCTGGTAAAATTTTTAACGAGGCAACATTCAAAGCGTATTATGAGATATGTGTACTCTTTTTTCTTCACTAGACTTTTTCCCACTGGGTTTTTTCTAGTAAGGTTTTAACGAGGCACATAATCTATGGATATCCAAAGGGAGTGTTGTAAATCCATTGTATATGTGGATGATGTATTAGAGTTATCCAACAATTAATTGGATTCATGTATTAGTGTTTCCAACAATTAATTGGATTCTTGTATTAGTGTTTTCAATGTGATAAGATTTCAAGGTGATATGAACCTTGATGATAATTATGTATAATTTCAAGGTGACCTTTGACTATGACATCTCAACAATATAATTAGAGATATCATTCACCATTATATGATACACTTGAATAAACAAAATTTTCTCATCTATGTTATACTTCTTGTCTCTTTCTTTTTATATTCTGAGCTTTTTTACAATATTATTGTTATTATTATTATTATTATTATTATTATTATTATTATTTATTGATAAAATTAAAACGTCGCAGCTAGTATGCGACTAATGATAAATTAGCGTTCCGAGTGTCTTCACCTCTTGTTCCTCTGCAGCTCTGCTTCTTCTTCTCTCCTCCATTTTCTTCCCAAACATGTTTTGAATATCTTTGTTTGCTTCCTCCAACAAAATAAAGCTCAGTACGCACAAGCTTTCGGCTTCTCTGTTTCAGAATAGAAACAGCCACATCAACGAGAAGATTTACCAAGAAAAAAGCTTCAATGGAGGTATTTTGTTTCAATCTACTCAAATCCTTACTAATAGGGTTTTCCAGAGACAGAAAGTGAGAAAGAATTTCATAACATAATTTTGACTATTCAAGTTTAAGTAATGTGTGTGTATATATTTTTCTCCAATGTTAGTAATAGTTCTATCAGCTTTTGCTTCCTTTAGCACCAAAATTAAATTAGATTCATGAGATATAATTATATAAATATCGAAAACTGAAATACATCCCGAATAACCATTTCAAGTAAATTGGATGCTTCAATTGATTTTAGAACAAGTTTTGAACCATGAACGCCCCTCATTTGACCTTAGGCTGAATGTTTCGATGCAATACATTTTCTGTACTTCTTTTTATCTGGAAATTTGAAAAACTACAGATTTATATTTTCTGTAACGTAAATGTAGTATATTATCTTTAGTTGCTAAAACAGTCAAATTATAGATTTATATTGTGTAATTACAGTTGAAATACTTCCTTTTTCTTTTTTCTTGTAGTTACTGAACCCGAACTTGCCTCATGGTGCTAACATTGGCGGTGACATCTCGTTGATGCTTGAGCTTCCAGAAAATGACAGGTTCTTCAAGAAAAAGAAGGTTTGAGGATTTGAAGCAAATTATTGATTATCTTTATTCCTTCTAGTTGTCTGTCAGGACCCAAAATCCCAAAGCCTCATAACAGACGCCTGACAATTCCCATGTCGATCGAATCCCATAAAATCGAAAACCATTCACATACCAGATGAGTGCAAGTCTAATAATAAGAGAAAGAATCACATAATCACCCGAAACTAATTATCCAAATGCAATGAGGAAGCTCAAATAAAACAGGACTAGTTACATACTAAATCACGAGTGTCCATCAGTATATAAGTTCAAGTCTAAAGTGTAAAATAGTAATCAACTGAATAGCGTAAAAGAACTTCCAGCTACCGCATAACTAAGCAGTTAGATCACCAGTGGAGGCCATACTTGAACAATCAACAATGATCAACCCAGAGGCTCGCTGGTACTAAGAACCTATCTGCATTTAAAGTGTAGGGAAGAGAAGAAGGGGGGTTAGTACGGGAAAATACTTAGTTAGTAATGTGATCATCCTAACATGGCAGTGGCATGGGTCATGATATGAAAGTATTCTTTTAAGAAAATCCTACACATATATTTAACGATAATAACATGCACTTAAATATGGTATCAACATAGCCCATATATGATGGATATATAATCTGAATATGAGTCCACATGCCCTAACATATCCCACAATTCAGTGTGAATTGCATATGCAATTCAACATACATATAGACAGTGCGTGACAAGCAATATAACCATGTAAACTAATGTACATGACATTGATAATATTATTCTTGCATCAACTGATGCGTATAAGCGACTCCAAGTTTGAGAATAGAATCCAATTGAGGTCATAATCTTAACTTACCTTAGTCCAAGCTAAGTTTAACCTTCCAAAACAACTTTACCGCATTCGGAATGCACGAAATGACTTCAAAAACAATTAGTTATGTCAAAAAATGCCATTGAATTCAATTCTATAATTTACAACAACAACAACATACTTAGTGTGATCCTACAAATGGAATCTGAGGAGGGTGGGGTGTATACATACCTTACTTCTACCTTTTATGAGATAGAAATGCTATTTTATAGACCCTCAACTCAAGAGGAACATTTTCAAAAATAGGTTTGACAAATACGAGAGTAAAAGCTATGTTGAAAAAGTATCGTATAAAAGAGAAGTATTGACTACGAACATAGTAAGATAACCCAAGTTAAAGAAACAACAATGATTGTACAATTGAATATACGATAATAATAAATAATAATAATGATACTGATAAGTATAAAAGGGAGCCAAGAAGGTGCTCTAAGCTAGAACCATACTCTCACTCTCATAAGAAAGAGAGAAATGACTCCGCTATATACTAACCCTCTACCCTAATTCTTGACCTTCATGCTTGCTTATCGAGAATCATATTTTAAATGTATTATCACCTCTTCCCAATTCTTCCTCAGTTTACCTCTACCTCTACCGCTCTTTAGACAATCACCGCCAACCTCTGTACACTGGGGCATCTTTGCTCCTCCTCTTTATATGTACGATCATCTCAACCTTGCTTTCCGCATATTGGGGCCACTCCTATCTTACCCCATACATAATTTTATCCTAATCTTATCTCTCCTAGTGTGCAGATTCATCTAAGCATCCTTATCTCTACTACATTCATCTCCTATGTGAATTCTTGAGCGGCCAACACTCTGCTCCATTCTTATGTTGCTCGGATTCTTTAAAAATGCCAACGAGGTGCGTGTTGGATCGCCAAAAGTGGTGTATTTTTGATGAATCCAGGACGGGTGTGGCATCAAAAGTGAAGAGTCCGCACAACTAAGCTCCATACAACATAGTTGGCCTTATAACCACTTTATAGAACTTACCTTTAAGTTTATTCTTACCACATATGAACATTGGATGCAAGCCTATGTTCATCTACCTTTTTTTAATACAATGTGTGACATCGTCGTCAATCTTCCGATTTCCTTGGATTATTGACCTGATATACTTGAAGCTTCCTTTCTTGGGAATGATGTGTATCAGTTCCCACTTTAAAATTTGCCACATTTGATGTATCATTGACCTTTCACTCCATATACTGTGTTTAACTCTTGCTCAACCTAAAACCTTTAGGCTTTTGGGCTCGCCTTAAAACCTCTACTTTATCGTTAACTTCACCGCATGTCTCTTTAATCAATACTATGTCATTTGCAAATAGCATACACTATGGTAGCTTCGCTTTAACATGTCGTGTCAATTCATTCATCGCCATGGCAAATAAGAACGAGATAAGAATACATCCTTGATGCAACCCCATCTTGACTTAGAAGTGTTTCGAGTTTCCTCCCCTTGTTCTCACTCAATTTTTGGCTCCATCATACATATCCCTAATCACTCTAATATATGTCAAAGTACACCTCTAGACTCCAAGCATCTCCATAAAAACCTCCTTCGGGACTTTGTCGTATGGCTTTTCTAATTCTATGAACACCCATATGTAAGTCTCTTTTCCTATCCCTATACTACTCAACAATCTCCTTAGAAGATGAATGACTTGCATAGTTGATCGCCCTAACATGCTTACAAATTGATTCTCAAAAATAGACCTATCCCTCCTCATCGGCTCATCCTCATCTCTTCCACCCTCTCTCAAACTTCATTGTGTGGCTTAATAGTTTAAGTCTATAATCTAAGAGTCGATAAAAGTAAAAGTTAACCCCGGGTCAACATGGTCTAACCCCAAATTAAAATTGAAATTCAGATTACGCATAACCGAACGAGTTCAAAGCTATGCATGGATTTCCATTTGAGACTTCTAGTCTATCAAATCTACGATTAATTTTTTTTGTAGTGTTTCGGCTCAAATTCCCTAATTTCCGCCATTAAATTCCATGTTATAGGGTTAACGTTAGCACACTAACATGATATAAACTTAAGGTACTGATTAAAATACTTATCCCAAGTCAAAGGGGGTAATCCCAGTCTCTGATTACCGAAACTTAGAATGTAAAATATGGTGATATAATAGCTGCTGTCCACCAGGCTGATCTTTATATACCCTAGGAGCTTGGTCATGATCGTGACACCCTACTCGCTATCGCAGAAATTATCCAGGCCCAGGCTCAATGCACTCGTGACAAGTTATCCACGATAGGGAAGTCTTGCTTAACACCTAATCCAGTGTTCACGATCTCCCACCATATGAATGGCGAAACTAGATTGTTTAATACCTCATGGCCGTGAGACAAGCTCTGTGATCGTGGTTCACACTTGAAGCTGTCTCTAGTTCCAAATTGTGCCAAAACACACTCGAGTCCCTCAGATCCCAAACCATACCCTAGTCCCTACCAACAAGTCCCAAATAGTAATATCTATTTATGCAAAAGCTTAAAACATAAATTGGATGCCAACACGTGAAATGAACGGTTGGGTTGTTACACTACGTCCTTTGTCTTTGTTACATAGTCCATAGAAAAACTTAAAAACTCTGTTCTTAATGTTTCTCGCATGTGCTCTGGTCATGGTGTTATCTAATCTTGTCTGCAGAAACTGCTGGAAGACATGGGTTCTCATGCCAAACATACATCCATACATAGCTTTGCAAGTCCTGGTGAAGTTGAGTCTTCTTTACTTTTGATGCTTGAGAGAGCTAGAATCATAAACTTAGATGAGGTATTCCTTTCTCAAAATCTAACATCTAGAAGTAGTTGAGTAACTTTTAAATGCTAATAACACTTTTGTTTTTCTTTCTGACTTGGAAAATGTGTTGAAAGTCTTCCCTCGGACAAAATGACTTCAGTAATTTTCCAGCAAAATTAAGCTTAGACTTCACCTTACTTTTATTCTGATCTATTCAATTCTTCATCACAATTCTTACGAGGGTTTAGATGGAAGATTTATTTCTTTGTTTCTGCAAACAAGTCATTTGAAATGAAGGAAAATGGGAGAGACTGAAACAGTTGGTATATTTGGGTGGAAAGGAAGAATTTTGTTAGTACACTCCCCATCAATGCTAGAATGCTACTATGGGTTTGTCAGATTCTACATTTGGCATTGGAGGGTACTGATAAACTGTGCAAATGATGGAATTTCGTGGATGATGTTTTCATTGTTAATGAACTCTTGGACACCAGACAGAAACAAAAGAAGAGTTGAGTCATCTGTAACTAGACTTAGAGAAGGCTTATGATCATGTTAAATGGAGCTTCTACTTTACCTTTTGAAGGCTTTGGGATTTGGTAACAAGTGGATAAAATAAATCAAAATGTGTAATATGTATTTTCTACTTGAGGTTTTACAGACTCACATCCTATGTATGCCGTCTCTGTTCTCTTCATCAAAACAGGTGGAAAAGAGACTAGATACTGTAAGGGGTGAATTTCTCCTGGTGGGGAAACAAGGAGAAAAAAGCATTCCACCAATTGAATTGGAGATCTATTATTCAATCAAAATGAAGGAGCTTTATGGAAAGTGGTGGTTACCAAAAAGTACAGAAGAAAGCACAACTACAATAAGAACAACATACTCATTGTAATGCCACAATGGGGTTTGGGAGGGTGGTGTGTATGTAGCCTTACCTCTACCCTGTAAAGATAGAGAGGTTGTTTTTGAAAGACCCTCGACCTCAAGTAATGCATAACAAAAATCAAATTAGTAGAACAATTACAGTAGTAAAGGAGCCATACTAACAACAATTTAGAAGAGAACACAAGTTGCAACAGATAATATGATAACTAAAGAAATGGAAACATCATCTAGCTCTAAAATCGAAGAATAACCTAGTAGGAGAGTAATAACAACAATATTGATAGGGAACTAAACAACGGTCAGTTACCTTCTAACCTTCTACTTTAATCCTTGGCCTCCATATCCTCCTATCTCGGGTCATGTCTGAGGTTAGCTGTAGGTGTGTCATGTCCTGTCTAATCACTTCTTCCTAATACTTCTTCGGCCTTTATCTGCCTCTCCTTATACCCACCATAGCCAACCTCTCACACACCTCCTCACTGAGGCACCTTTGCATCTTCTCTTCGCATGCCCAAAATCACCTTAGCCTCGCTTCCCTCATCTCAGTGTTGTGAATGGCGAGCGCCTCATCGCCTTTGGCGAGAGACGAGGCGAGGCGAGGCCTCCTCGTTCCCCACTGAGGCGAGGTGGTATGCAAAAGGCGGCCCATGCCGATTCATGGCGACCTAATGGCGCCAGAAAAGGCGACGCCTTTTTTATTTTTAAAAAATATTTGACTTAACAATATTAGTCAAAATTAGGGCTTTTTTTAATATTTTCGAAATCTGCTGCTGCGCACTCTTCTCCCCGACTCTCTTCCCCTCACAATCTCTTCTCCTGGTCTTCATCATCTTCGAGTTGCTGCTGCTGAAGACCTGAGGTATACCTCTTTTTTTCTGTTCTTCTTCTTCGATTTTCGTTTCAGACTTTCAGTTCTGTTTTCTTCAAGTTTTCTTCACTACTCTTTTTTTCCTCTATTTTCTTCACTCTCTGTTTTGTCCCAGATTACTGTAAAATGCCTTCTGTTTTCATTGTGCTGTGATTCTGTGACTGCTGTCCATTATTTTTTTGAAAAAAAAATTTAATTCTTTCTATAGTAATTATTATAGTATTTGTAATATATGTAATTGCTATTGAAATTTTGAATATTATATGTGCAATTAAATATTTTTAATTTTTGGTATTAATTGGCGCCTCGATTCAAAACGGCGAGCGCCTCGCCGCGTGGCGAGGCAGGCCCTTGTCGCCTTTTGTCGCCTCTCGCTGTCCAAAACACTGCCTCATCTTGTCTGCCACTAAGTCTACTCCACCTTTTCCCTGATGTCTTTATTCATGGTCCTATATTTTCTAGTATGCCCACACATCTATTTCAACATCCTCATTTCAGCTACTTTATCTTCTAGCCGTGAAAGTTCTGGACCCACCAGGCGCCAACACTCCGACCTATGTAACATAGCTGGTCTGACTACCACTCCATAAAACTTACAACCTAAGGCTTGATGGCACATTTTTAACACACAATACACTAGATGTGAGCCTCCATTTCATCATCTCACTCTAATATGATGTGTAACATTCTTATCAATCTCTTCATTTCCTTGGATTATTGACCCCAAATATTTAGAACTCCCTCTCTTGGAGATGATTTCTATATCAGTCCCTACATCCACATCTGCCACGCGATTTATGTATCAATCCCCACATTCACATCCCCACATGATTTATGTTAGTAAACTTGTATTCTACGTATTTTATCTTAGTCTTTCTCAACCTGAATCCTTAAGACTCCAAGGTCAAGTCTCCAAACCAATAATCTATTATTATCTCTATTGCGTGTCTCGTCAATTTAACTATGCCCTTTGCAAATACCATACAACAGGTCACCTCTCCTTCGGTATGCCGCGTTACTTCATCCATCACCAAAGTAAATAGAAACAATCTAATGGCTGGTCCTTGGTGCACCCCATCACGACTGGGAAGTGCTCCGCATCTCCTCCGACATCCTTACTCGGTTCGTGGCTCCATGATACATGTCCTTAATCCCCCTAATGTAAGACACAGGTACCTCTTGACTTTGAACATCTCCATAGAACCCCCTAAAGACTTTGTTGTATGTGTTTTTTAAGTCAATGAATACCAAATGTAAGTGCTTGTTTCTCTCCCTATACTACATCAGTCTCCTTACTGGATGAGATGTATGGCTTTGTAGTGGAACATTTCAACATGAATCCAAATTGGTTCTCGGTAATAGACACACCCTTTCTCATCCTCATCTCTATGACTCTACTATCCTCTCCCAAACTTTCATATTGTGGCTTAACAACTTAATACCCCTATAGTTGTTGCAATTCTGAATATCCTTGTTCTTGTACAGCAGGATCATATTTCCACATCCATTCTTCAGGCATTTTAGACGTCCTAAAAATGATGTTAAACAACCCAGTTTGCCACTCCATACCCGCTTTACCTGCACTCTTCCAAAAATTTCATTGGACCTGGTTGGCTCGATCGCCCTTTCCCTTGTCATCCAAAGAATAACCTCCTCAAACGTTATACCCCTACAATACTCAAAATCTTGACTACTCCAGGATGCACTAAATCACCCAAAAAAATATTCGTGTCCCCCTTCTTCATTCAAGAGTTTTTTTTTTTGGAGATAGCAACAAGTTGTAGTAAAATCAATATCAAAAGGGGCCAGTGAAGACCTAACTACAAGGCTAAATCGAAAGTGCAGAAATTATTAACTAGCAACTAAAGAAACTCTAGGAATATTAGTGTCTCTGCGTCATATATGTACTTGTCTTTACACCAGAAATGCAAAGTTGAATACAATTAAGCTTTGTATTCTGAATAGGGTTGCTTTTGTTTTGAAAACATCTTGAGTTCCTTTTCCCCCAGATAGTCCACCATATGCAACCTGGGATCAGACTCCAACATTTTTTTGAGCTCTAGTTCCTCTTCTTCTGCTCTACGTAGTACATCTAGTGTATTTGTTGGTATTGCCCAACTCAAACCAATGCTTGCAAGAATATGTTCGACAGTTCAATAGTCACCCTAAAATACAAGAAGAGGTGACTATTTGTTTCAGCATCATAAGTGGTGGATAGAGCATAGGTGTATTCTCTTTCTTTGCAGTCTGTCTCGTGTCAAAAAAGCCTTCTTTGATGCCAACCAAACTAATCACACCACCTTCTATGGTATGTTTGTCTTCCATAGCTGTCTCTAGGGCCAGTTTACTTGAAGATTATTGTTATGATTCCTTAAGTGATATGCTGTCTTGACTGTGAAAACTCCTTCTGTCTCTCAATTACCACGATCTACCTTTTTCTGTTGAGGTTCCATTGAAGAAAATTAAGTGTGTTAAGGAAGGCACTAAATCTGTCCATTTTGCAGTCACTCAAAAGTCTTCTGAAACTCAGGTCTCATCCTTTGATTGTTCCATACCCTCATTGATACTGGCCCTTTGCTGCAAGTCAGGATGTAAACATCCTAAGTAAGCCATTACCTAGCCATATATCTCCTGAAAGAGAACTATCTTGCCCATTCCCAACATTGAATCTGATATTAATGCTGATATCATCCAAGGATTTCTAACAGTCCTCCAAACATGACCCAATAAACAGTGTTAACAACTTCGCTTTTCCTAGTATTCTTTTCCATATTTTTCTTTAATCACCCTCCTCCATAATGATTGATCTTGATTTGAGTATCTCCAGAGCCACTTCATGAGTGAACTTTGATTTTGCTTCCTAAGGATTTGTATGCCAATCCCCCTTTGTTGTTTTCTTAGTGTTAGAGTTTTCCAGTTGACAAGATGAACACCCTTTTTTTCCTGGTTGTGTTGCCACAGAAAGTCACTTCTCAACATATCCAGTCTTTTGTCAACTTGTGGAGTTATGTGAAAAATAGACATCGTATGAGTCATACAAGGCCCCCCATCGCCATCAACTTCTCCCCCATCTCCTGGGTTTTGACAGTAGTCAAGCCACTGCACTTGATTGTTGATAGGTCATACAACGTCCTATTCTTCCTCTTCCTCTTCCTCTTGATCTCTAAATCCATTGCTACGAGCTTATGTTGAGTTGTAAGATACTCAGTCAGGATGGGGCATAATGATGAAGGAAAGTTCACAGTAAGGCAGCCTACAAGATAGAGATGAACCTGAATACTATCACTGGCAACTGGGTTTGGAAGCTAGTCTGGAAGGTCACTTTCCACCCAAAGTTGTTTGCTTTAGCTGGACAGCGATCCGTGAAGCCAGTTCTACACAGGACAACCTTGCATGGAGGAAGATTCGGATTGTGAATAGATGCCACATATGTTATTGAGAAGCAGAACTTCATAGCCATCTGTTTCTGCAGTGCCTGGCCACAACAGACTTATGGCACATGGTCCTCACCCTTTTTGGCCTCAGATGGGTAATGCCAAACTCTATCAGGGAGTTTTTGAATGCTGGAGCCACTGAAAACTTGACAGCACCGTCAAAAAGATTTGGAAGATGATACCAACTGCCATCTTATGGACTATCTGAATGAAAGAAATAGAAGATGTTTTGATGGCCTCTCAACTAGCCAATCTATGTTCAAAGCTAAATGTATTTTGTATTTATATAGTTGTTTTTTCCCCCAATAGATTCCTCTAAAACGTTTTTAGGTTTTGTTTGCTCTACGATAGTGTACTAGAGATAACATACTAGTGCCCACTATCGTGTAACTTCTTTTCATCTTCTTGATATCATGAATGGAATCAATCACTTCATCTAAAAAAAAATATACTCGAGATATCCTTGCAGTGCTTACATAGACTTCTCTCACACTTTCTAAGGAGTAAGTAATTTATCTAAATCTTTGTCACCGTACTACAAAAGTCACCCAGTGATCTTCCTTCTTCGGGGAACTCGAATTAGCTATCACCAAATCAAAAGCATTAGCAAAGTCCAAAGGCGAAACTCCTTTCATTTCTATCCCAAAACCGAAACTGCATGAACATCAACATAACCCCTTGAAGTATTCCTGATGTGTCCATTGAAATCACCTCCTATGAATAGCTTCTCGGTGTGCGGGACCCCTCACTACCTCATCCAAAATCCTCCCAAAACTGTCTTTGTTCCTCCTCATCCAAGCTCGATTGTTTGTTCATTTGCACTAATAATATTCAAGGTAAGTCCTCATAATGACCACTAAAATTGAACAGAATCACGGCTTGTTTGCTTGGAGGCAGATAAGATCCAGGGCACCTTACAAAGTGGTACATTTTGTTGGACTGTCACATATGAAGCAGTTCTTACACAACACTGCGACAAGAATAAGTATTCTTATCATCTGCTTTTGCCTTGTAGCTTCACAACTCAAATCTGGAATATGTTTTTCAACACTACTTATGTTAGCTGGGTGATGCCTAGAAGGCTACGACTATCAAACAATTGCTGCACATTTGGACTGGTAAGGGTATTGAGAAGAAGAAAAGACGAGTCTGGGAGACCATTCCCGCCTGCATGTGGTGGGTGATTTGGAAAAAAAGGGAATCAAGGATCTTCTGAGAGAAAACGTGGGAGTGTACATACATTGAAATAAGTATCTTTTTTTTGGGCTTTTTGGTATAACTAGAATATGTTAAGTACAAAAGATAAGATGTTCAGTTTCCTGAAGTGATGTAAATGAATTGATTTGTGTGTATTTTTTCATAAACTTTGTGCCTGTCTATAAAATCTTACCCTTCTCAAAAAATATGAAATAATGCTAATAACACTTTTTTGAGTAGCTTTCCACGAGTAGCAGTTCATAAATCCTCTTTAATTCTATAATTATGTGGACAATCAGTTGTCAATAGAACTGTTATAATTTACCTATGGATGGTTGGTGAAGCAAAATTATGTAATCAGTTGCTTTCTAACAACCTCCTTACTATGTCGGTTTATATCTGCCAAAAGAGCAGTTTTACTATAAGTTAAGTTTCCTGAATATGTTGTTACCTTTGTCAAAAAAAAAAACTTTTCTGAATATATCACAGTTTGTCAAAGGAGGAGAAAAATCATTAAAGTGCCACTAACATAATGCAAATCAAGATATCTCCAAGTATCATTTTGTTGAGATTTTTCGCACTGATAAAAGTTGTCTTTGGTTTAGCTGGAACTTTACTTTGGTGGCGAAGATGTCAAGGACATGGTAGGCTTTAATAGTCCAAGGAATGAGATGGAAGCCTTGAATTCAATTCTTACAGCCATTGCTAAGTTGGACGGAGAACATTGTTCAACCACCACATTGGAAGAATTACGAGTTGCAGCTGTCAACTTGATTTCTGAATTGGGAAAGAAATGTAAAGAGGAGAGCAAAGTTGTTACTCGGTCTAGCTGTGAGGCAGAGAAATGTTTACAACAGTGGGGCGAAGACCAAGGTGTGAAGTCACAATTGGAGATATCTTGTAAGTTCTCATCTCACCATTAATTCAAAAGTAACGTATTTATTTTTGCATGCATGATCGAAAATGCTATTGAGGAAAAGGGGAAACTTATATTTTTTCTCGGCTAAGCTTTGGAGCCTAATCTAGGACTATAGAATTGCATTTCAGTTTACCATTGTGTATATAACCTCCCTGTTTACGTGGGACTTTTGTATGATTGCCATTTAATTGGTGTTTCTAAACCACTTCTGTGAATTTCAATTCTTTCGTTTGAGTTGTACAAGTCTTTATTGTCAGAAAATTACTTCAAATAAAATGGAATAACATTCACTACTGTCTTATTTTCACTTATTTGAATGTTTTTCAAGGCAACCTCCCTCTTCTGGCTGCCTTTCTTGCACCTACCCCGGAGAACCTCTTCTCCATACTCTCCTCGTATTAACCTCTTGCCATCTACTTTGTACTTTCAACTTGTTGCAAAAACATTAAATGCCTATCAAACTTGCTCTTTTGTTTTTTATTATATAAATTCATGTCTTTCAATTTTCATTACATGTTTAGTGAAACAAATTAGCACATGTTTCAAATAAATGCTTTGTGGTTGAGGCATGGGAGTAACAACTTGGAACACTTGATGTGGGCCCATCTGTGTCAATCTTGGTGGGCAGGATTACCATAGCAACCTGTGGTTGTGGGCTGGGCAGGCTGCAGGGTTGATAAGTCGAGGTGCAATAAAGCTGGCATGGAGACCACCAACTGTTTAACAAGGAATCGGTAGTGTTTACAAGAGCATTTCTAAGCTTCTTACTGAGAGACTCAAAAATGTGATGCATAAACTAGTGGACACTCAACAATTGGCCTTCATTAAAAGGTAGGCAAATAATGGATGCCATCCTCATGGCAACTGAGTGTGTGGATCTAGAATCAGAAGCAATGCTCCAGGGATTCTTTGCAAGCTGGATATACAGAAGGCATATGATCACCTGAATTGGCAATATTTGTGGGGAACTCTTGATAAAAGAGGGTTTGGTGGTAGATGGCTAAGATGGATGAACTTCTGCATTCAAACTGTCAAATTCTCAATTCTTATCAATGGCTCCCCTACAGGCTTCTTCTCTGCTCAAAGAGGCCTAAGGCAAGGTGACCCTTTATCACCTTTTCTATTCATCATTGCAATGGAAAGGCTAAGTGATAGCTGAAAACTGCTCGAGAGAAGCTATGGTTAAAGGGATTCAAAATATCAAACAGAGTGGGATGTGAACTGGAGATCACCCATTCACAATACGCAGATGATACTCTCATATTTTGTAATGCCAACAAAGAACAACTCAGGATGCTGTGGGTGATTTTTATTCTCTTTGAAGCTATATCAGGACTTCATATTAATTGGAATAAGAGCTTCTTATATCCAATTAATGTAGTTCCTGACCTATCCTCTCTGGCTAGGACCCTTGGCGGAAGAACTGGTGACCTCCCTACTACTTATCTGGGGATGCCTCTTGGAGCAAACAGTAGGTCTTTGGGTATTTTGAATGGGGATGGAAAAATGTGAAAGAAGATTAGTGAATTGGAAGAGCCAATACCTTTCCCTAGGGGGGAGACTAACACTTATTAATAATGTATTGGACTCTATGCCTAGTTTTATGATGTCCCTTTTTCCTATCCCTGATGGAGTAATTGATAGATTGGATGCTCTAAGAAGGAACTTTCTATGGGAAGGCAACAACGAGAAAAAAAAAATTTCACCTGGTTAAATGGGCAGCCTTGATTGGGAATAAACAAGTTTGGAGGTCTAGTGGTCAGAAACTTGAAGACTCAAAAACAATGTCTACTAATGAAATGGCTTTGGAGACTAGCCTCCAATGAACAAGCTTTGGGGAAGGAGGTGGTTCAGGAAAAATATGAAATGGAAGATCATTAGTCAACTAGCATGGTGACCAACACTTATGGAACTAGCCTTTGGAGAACCATAAGGAACCTATGGCCAAAACATAGAGGGAATTGCAAAATCAAAATTGGAAATGGTATAAAGGTCTTATTTTGGGAAGATAACTGGCTGGAACTAGGTCCTTTAAAAACACTTTTCCCTGATGTGTTCATCCTCAACCAACAACAGAGGGCTACTGTGGCAGAGGTTTGGTCAAACCAAGGATGGAATGGGATATCCAGAGAGTAATAGAATTCTACAGAACTCTCGAATAATTCAGAGGAGGAAACAACGTCCAAGACTGCCTGGAATGGAAGGATCTCAAGCAAGGAAGATTCAGTGTCAAGGGGGCTTACAAAAAGTTCAACCCTTTCAATAACCAAATTAATGGGTGGCCCTGGAAAATGATTTGGAAAGGCAAAATTCCCTATAAAGTGTCTTGTTTTACTTGGCTACTTGCTAAATAGGTTGTTTTGACTCAAGAAAACCTCATGAAGAGGGGTATCCAATTGAGCCCTAGATGTTTCCTATGTGGGAAAAAGGCTGAGACTGTGACTCATCTGTTTCTTCACTGTAGGATAACCAACCAGCTATGGGACCTTTTCATCAGTAAAAAAGAATTGAATTGGGTGATGCCAAGGAGAGTAACTCAAACCCTGAAGATATGGAGTAGCTATTCCAACATCTCTTGTCACAGGGAGAGATGCAAAATCATCCCAGCTTGTATTTGGTGGTCAACGTGGAAAGAATGGCTTTTTGAAAACCTTTGCCCTCTATATACTTTCTCAGCCGCACACTAGCATACTAGCATAGGGTGAGTTAGTTTAAATGCAGGCGTCAAACCATTTAGCCGGGTTGGGGGTTGGTGAAGTCGGTATTTTTTTCTTATTTGTTTCGCATTTCTCATCAAAGGAGCTGAAAGCCACTTGACTGTAAGGAAAGGGGATTTTTTCATTACTTCAACTAGTACCGATTGATGGGAGAGAGACGTCATCAGAACAAGAGAAACACTATTCAGAAGATGAAAATGAAATGTCTTGTGCTGTTTCATTTTTGGTGTAAACAGTAGTATATGGAAGATCTAGAATCAGTTATGAATATCTTAGGATCACTGTAATTTTTGTCATAGGATTGAAGATCTTCTCTTATGCTCTCTTTAATCTGTAATTAGGAATCTGTAACATGTTGTGGCAGTTTGATTTTTTGGAAATAGAAATATAAATCGTTTCCTTCTAAAAAAAAAATTTCTCCTTTTTTCCTTCACATCTTCGCCTGCTCTACCTACCATCGTCGTTACAATGTTCTCTGTCGATCGTTTGTTGTTCTGTTTGGTTGAGCTGTGGAGAGATGGTGAAGGAATATGGTAGAGGATTGAGAGGTGGTATCAGGTCAATTACAGGAGGGGCACTACCGGCTGATCAACTCATTTTGTGTTTAACCTGTTGATCAACTCTAGGCTGAGCTTCTAGTGAAAAACTAAAGCACTACTTTACACAATGAAATCCCGTACTTTTGCAATAACTTGGCTTCTCAAATAATAAGTAATATCTGCTGGGTCTTTGTAGACCTAAGATGAATTAGATAGGTTTTACACTTTTATCTGCGGTCTTGCAGTGATTTCAGGTGAGTGGAACTTTGGACGCGTGTCATTCTTTTTATACTCTGTAAAAAAATGGTGAATTCAACTGGAAATCTGTTGGTTGCTGCTTGTTTAGAACGGAATGCATGCTGTATGTTTGTTAAAAAGAGTGAGTCAGTGAAGAATTTTTAGTGAAGGTGTCAAAAGATGGATAAAATTGGTAGAGATTTTTCGCCCCGTAACTTTGGGAGTCTGTTTTAAATGTATATGGACTATTATAACGAAGGTGATTTTTAGCTTGAATGGTGTTGGGTGGAAATGATGGCTGTGTTTGGTGGTGAGTATGGATGGTTTACATGGTGAATAGACGTGGTGTTTTTTCAGAGGATGGCTTGTACTGTTGCTGAAAAATGGTTGGAGAGGTGGTACAGGTCCTATGTATGTCAATTTATCTTGAAGTGTAAGGTTTTGTGGAAGAAAATAGTATTTTTCCAAGAAAAAAGGATTGGAACTAATGAACTTCAAGGCGGACTGGCGGAGTGAAGCAAACATGCTGTTCCAGCATGGTCCAAGGTGAAACGCTGGGGTACTAGCTACGGAATTTGAAGTTAAGGTGTGTAAAGGGAGGCCAACCTGTTAAGGTGTGTAAGTGTCAATGGGAAAATAATGCACATCAAGGGGGGAAGTATGCATTAAGTCTGTGCCTCTATAATGCTTTATGATGCGGTCTTACCTTTGGTGTCTCTCTAGGGAATTTTTATGGTGAGATTCCTGGAATAATTCTCAGCCTCTTCCTCTTGAAGTTGCAGTTTGCCAGTGCCAATGGCATAGTGAATTTCTGTTCTTGTTCTCTTTTGTTGATTGCCCAAGTTCTCACCATCCTTCAGTTATAGCACAACAACTTTACCATCAGACAATTCCCATTGTTGCAGCCGTATGGCCTTATAAACTGGTACTGTTTCAGCAATTTACTGTCCTAGACTTGCTAGATAGCTGGACAATTACCTTCAGTGCAGGAGAAAATTTTCACTGGTTGATCTGACACTTCCTATGTTCATTTCCAGTCATTATTTCACCAACAAACTGTATTAGTAAGCTCCTTCAATGGCTAACTTATTGATTGAATAAGGTAGAAATACTATTTTCATTTCCTTGCACATTTGTGTATCTTGTGATGCAGACTTTGAAGGAGCTGGAAGGGGAGCCATTGCAAGACAAGATCTGAGAATTGGAGACATTGCCTTGGAGATCCCTTTATCCATTGTCATTTCAGATGATCTTGTGCATGAATATTACATGGTATGCTTTGTCAATGTTATGGGCATTTGTTGATTGAACCAGTTATGCTTTTTCTCCTTGCCTTCCCACTTGGCTTGCTAAAACAATTCGACAATCAGATTTCACTGTGTCGGCTTTTGCAAGCTTGACACTTCAAAATTTTAAACTATAGCTGATTGAAGTGCCTATAAATGAAGTCATCATAGTTTTGTAAAGTACAATGTCTAATTTTCTGTAATAGAGCATGCGATTGGATAGGAGAATTGCAAGTCCATTTGGAGTCGACACTTCAGTTCTAGTAGTCTTGTAGGAACCTTGTCTCCACACACTGACTCTCAATTTGATACTTTGAAGGCACTTCTCCATTTGCTTTGAGTTCAAAATTTTGCCCTGTGGTACCAGTTAAGAAGCTTTCTTCTGTGCAATAATGATTTATCTTTGAAGAAGTGATTGGGTAGTATTGGGAAATTGATATAGCACTAGAGCCGAGAAGAGAGAAACAGAGAATAGTAGTGTGGAAATAAGAGAACCATCAGAGAAAGATGAGAGTACAAGGGATCAATGATAAAGTACTAAGTGTGTCAAAACATAGATGAACGGGATATATCTATAGTAGAAAACCATGTACTTTTTGGAGACACTTATAACTTTGTCTTAAATAATAAGTTAAGGATAAAATTAAAGATTCTCTCAAAACCTGTATGGGCAGAAAATCCTTTAGGTGCTTGTGCTTGTGAGGGGGACCATTTACCTACTGAATTAGTCGAGGTCTGTGTGAGGTGGTGAATACATCACCACTTCTAAAAATAGGCTATATTAAAAAATATGATAAATCAAACTAAGATGGTGATTTTTATAATAATGAGGATAGAAATATAATGTACAATGATTTGAACATAATAAAAAATCTGAAAGGTGTAGATGAAATAATAAAATATTCTTAAATCTGACGAGATTTCAAAATTTACCCGTTCTTCAATTCCTACTTTATATTCTCCCAAATCACTTGAAGGTGCATCATTCTCTTCTGGTTGAAGTGAACTTGACTACTATGGGTACCTAAACAAACCACTATTTGAGAAACTATGATTGCATTGATCAACATACTAGAATCTGAGGAGGTGTAGGCTCTAATATACGTACAGAGCTACTAGAGAATGATACTCAAATCTAATGGCCATATAATTTGGTGAATCCATCAAAAATGTATTTTATCCCAAGCTCATTGACAATAGACTGGCACTAACTTTCCACGTAGTGCTGAGAGTTGTGGAGAATTAATCTTTTTCTTAGACCACTATGATCGTTGGAGTCCTAGTAGAGTCAGGTCAACCTTAGAATATTATTATTAAATTAGTATTATTGATGATTATTCAAGATGTACTTAGAATTTATTAATAAAAGATTGTTCTGAGCTGTTTCTTTATTTAAGAGTACTTGTGCTAAAATACAAGATCAGTTTGGTGTCTCTATTCTTGCCTTTCATAGTGGTATGCCTTTCACCAAGGAATTATATCAAACATCTTGCCCGTGTTCCCCTCAATAAATGGGATACTAGAGAGGAAGAACGGGTAACTCTCTGAGACTTCACACACTTTTCTAATTCAATTTTTTTTCAGCTGTGTTTTGGGGCTACACAGTTCTTACTTCTTGCTATTATTAAATTGGATGTCCTCATCTTCAACTCCGCCGGATAACTAAGCTGTCCCTCTCAGACTAGGGTTTTGGTGGATGGATTGTAACAAAAATGGGATGGACTAGCTCGGATGAAGAGGTGAACAATACAGAAGAAGGAACCTCACCGGAAAGTCTTTAGAATTACTTGCATACGCAGGCATGTGGACAAATCTAGCCAAAAAAGTTGGGGTTATCCTGCCGCATGACAACTTCGTAGGGTTGCCCATTGATGGGTTTTCTCACCAAGATGTGCAGAGTCCGAATCATATGTGGTTGACATGCCACACGCACAAAATCCACAAAATTGAAGTAGGACGAGACAATTGCTCGAAAAGAAGAATAATTGCATGATGGCTATTTACATTCTTCTTGATATCACTGTAAATGCACAAATAACTACTAACTCACAAAAGCTCTGTTACCATGTTAGAGATGAAACAAGGAAGAATATATTGAGAGACAACACTTCTTGATTATTTCCGCAAGCGATTGAGGTTTAAATATCAACGTGTACATGTCCTAAGAAAGTAAAATATAATCAATCACATAATCATTGGATACTACAATATTTACAAGATTCTTAGTAAGTGCCAAGACTGATGTAACACTAGAAAATAGAGGGAAAAGGGATAAGGATAGATAGAGAAGAAAAGTACGAAGGATCCTGTTTATAGAGTAGGGAACCCTAAGCATATTGGGAAAAATGATTGTCACATCTAGATTTACCCCCTAGACGTAACCGACGTCGTCGTCCTTTTTAAGGACTAAGACTAGCCTCTTAGTTTCATGTCATTACATTCATAGGTTGAAAGGTGCAAAATTTTTTAAAACTTGTATTATTACTACTTGGAGGTTTACATAGACCTCTACATACACATGCTATATATTCATATAGAGTATACATAGACCCTTCATATAGGAAGGTTACATAGCCTTCTACTTTTATTGCACACACATATATAAGAATATGGAATAAAGTCTCAATGATTGTCTCATCTCATACCATCTAAACGAATATCACTATGTGGGCATAGCCCTTACATCAATTCAACAAGACCATGTATAGTCGTACAAAAGAATAATATTCAAATATCAAGGAAAGGAATGATAGAGTCAATAAGCTCATAACAAAATCCAAAGCTAGAACATGGCATTGCCCTCGAGAGTTGAGGACCTACCCTACTTGGATGAAAGGAAGAATCCAAGCCTTCAACAATGACGCCTCCCAGAACTCTTCAACGACCGGAACCTAAAATGTTTGGGGAAAAGGGAAGAAAATGGGGTTAGTACTCCACATTTACCAAGTATAAGATCTTATGGACATATACAAGGAAAATATGCAAAAAGGGAGCTTTTAGTTAAATCATGCCATTTTACTCCTTTAAGAACTTATGCACAACCAATAGTTAAGGAAGTCAAATGTATATCAACACGCTTGAACCCATAGTATCGTATGCTCTATCACCAAGTAATATCATCACAAGCATGAATAAGAGTAATCACATAAATAGCAAAGTAAGGTAACAAATCATATATTCCCATAGAGTCAACAAGTGCAATGACCAAGTAAAGCCCCATAACCCTACTTAATCAAGTCACCCAACAAGAACTATAATTAGTATCATGCTCCACACAATATAACCTCATATATTCATAAATTCACATCTTTAGTAATTAAGACCATTAAGGCCATTTGCATGTTCATAAGCATCATATAAAAACATTTACATTTAACACAATCCATATACACAATATTAACTTCCCAAAGCTCTCATCAAGGCAAACTAGTGCAAGGCATAGGTAGAGTCCCATACCCCTACCTACGCTAAGTCAAACCCCTCAAATCACTTTAGTTAGTCTATACTTCATTCTTTCATTTTAGTTTAGGGAACACTCGCTTTAACCGACATAGACCACATGAGCTTAATGTGGAATCCGGTGTCATAAGACCTTACACCGATGGAAGGTGGTCTACCGGCCAATGTAAAACCTCATATAAACATAGCTTTCTAGGTGGATCCACTAGCTAGTATCCTATGGTGTCAACATAGTTTAAGGAAGTAAGAGATAGGTATTCCCTCTACATACCATTTAGTAATTGGGGCCTCACCTCATGGGAATCATTGGATGAGTATCCCTCAAAGGGGAGTCAACATCACTTATAGACCTATAGGGTAACACTTCCTCTATGGAAAGCAATCACCTCCCATTGTCATGTTCACTCGGTGCTAAGCTAAGTCCCTTTATTGAAATGTCATCAAGCCTTTAATTATCATTCATAACTTAATTTAGGCCACAGGATCTATCCCTTGTATAATCATCATCATCATCAATAGCTCAATAAGAATTGTATTAGTCCTTTCATCACAGTTCATACAAGTGAGGTTAACGCTTTAGCATTTTATAATATATTCAGGCACATTGATAGTTTTCACCATACACCTTAATCAACCTCACAACATAGTCAAGACATTTCAATTAAACATCATACCACCCTGTAATCCCAATATAAGGCATACTCCAAATGTAATATCATGACTTAACAACAATTAATCACAATTGGAAGTGAAGATAGAAGATTCTAAGACTTACCAAGTCTTCCTCATAGTCTATCATCAAGATCTTACCATCAACTCATAACTCAACCCGACTTGGGGCGCAACATCATCACACAGTGGTAATCAATAGAATAACAAGGCCAATTGCATATCTATAACACAATTCATCTTTAGATCACAACTTGAGACAAGGTACATAGGCTAATTTCACATTATAATTCATAACCTAAATCACATCTCAAGAACTAGCATGATAGGTCTATAATTCATCTTAATTTAATCATAATAACACCATAGGATAGTAATCAAATCAACAACCAACTTAATTGAATGATTACAATACAATATAGGTCAAGATTACTACCTAGGGTTAGGGATAGAGGATCATATTCTTCAATTTAAACCAAACCATCAATAATTATCATAAACAAGTCGAATTACATGTTAATGTACTCAATATAACCCTAAGAATTCATTAACAACTCAATCCATAACTTCAATTTCGTAATTGAATGAAACCCATAAGAAAGCTCAACTTTTTTAAATCTCTTTTGAAGGAACCCTTTGAGGAAAGGGTCTCAAAGGTGAATAGAACCCATACCTTAATGTTTCCGAACAATTTGATGAAGAATCCACCCTTTTCCAGCCGCCAGTTCACCTTCCAAGCTAAGCTTCTATGGAGTCTTCCAATTAGACAGAGAAAGACAAGAGAAGGAAGAGGGTTTATTTGAGAGTTGTGTGTTGATTAATGAGGGTTGAGGGTATTTATAGTAGAACTTAATCAACTTAATTAGTCTCTCTTTAATCCCCAACTAACACCTAAACCACTTAATTAATTAAATGAACTTAATTTAAAACGTGCAGGAATTTGCAGACCCAATCGATGAGACCTCGATCGACAGATCGGTGGTCCACCGACGGTCCGTGATGCACATCCGTAAGTTCAGTCAGAGACTGGTGCAGGCGAGACTTTTCTCCAATTTTCTAAGTGTGGGACGACATTGGCATCGACGCCCCATTGATCCACACACGGAATGTAACCTGCACTACTGCATTCCGTCGATGATTCTAGGGACTGTGCAGGTGAAGGGACCTTCTCCACCAGCCTAAGTGTGGGAAGACGGTGGCAATGGCGCCCTGTCGATCCACACAAGGGCCGTCGTCTGTCCAATTGATGCACACTGCCAGGCAGTGCTGCATCAAACTACAGGGGTCCCTCTCAAGGGCCCTTGGTTGGTCCTTGGGGAGTCGTACCCGGGCCTTTTAACCATGGAACAACTTGAACACCCATTAGCTACCTTTCCACCTATTTTTGTACATTCCCGACTCCTAAAAGTTAGTCGAAAAGGCTAAGGCACACTAACATCCCTTTGAACCAACTTCCTGAACATTTTGGACGTTTTGGTTCTTAAACCTCCTAAAAGACCTATATTCATTAAAAATTGACTTAGAAACACTGTTTAGACTTTATGACACCTATGTTAGGCTTTACAATGAGTCTTGGATTTTCAAGGTGTTACAATGATATAGATGAAATCCAATATGAAAAAATCCAAACCTCATTTTTAAAATCTACAATAATTCAACTTATTTTATGAAACCTCTCAACTGCAAATTCTCATGCTTTATCGGCATGAAAAGCTGAGAAGAGTGTATAGGTATTTGCACCCTAACACTGACAGTCTTATAAGAGTAGCTAACAAAATTTTGCATTATGTGACAGTATTCCATTTTGGAAAAGATCGAGGGCATGTCAGCAGAAACAATGTTACTGTTGTGGAGCATGAAGGAGAAGCACAACCCTGATTCCAAATTTAAGTTGTACTTTGATACGCTGCCAGAGGTATTTAATACAGGTTTGTTTCTTGAAAGAATGTGTTACTCGAATTAAAAAAAGTATTTTTCTGTTTGTAATTGCGTCTAATATGGAGTTGGGCCTTCCTCTATACATGTCCCTATATTGTGAGCAAAGTAGTTATCGACCTTAGCCTGTTGATCCATAAGTGTACAATTTACATGTGTGCATATGTTTATGTATCAGGTGCGCAGTTGGTTTGAGAATGGCATGTGTCCTTCTGGTTGTATAAATTACCAACCTTCTTTTGTTATATAAAGTAACGTTTTGCTCCTTCCCCCGTATATTTTATCGACCTGATCGAAAGGAAGAAAATTGTTCAAGAGTTATACATAAACGATATGGTCTGGATATTGTTAAAAGAATGCATGTGGACACTCTTCTTTGTAATGTAAATGGCTAAACATATTCTTGGGGATTGATAAACTTTCTCTTTTTTGGTTATCTCGTTAATTAGCATAACATGAATGTATATATACCTATCACATTGTTGAATAGATGACAAGGAAATTACTCGGCATTTTGTTAAGTTACATGGTATAGAGCCTCCAAGGCTCAAATTTTTGCTCAATGATTTCAAAATCTGTTGTTTTAGAAAAAATTGTACTTATTCAACTACCCTAAAAGAGTGACTAGTTTGTGTCTTGGACTCTCTATCAGTAAAGAGGATTTTAGGCCATCAAACTCCATTTCCAGAAATTGGGTGAGCTTCGTCTAAGGCTCAGCCCCACCTCCACTTTGCAGCTGTCTCCCCACTTCTCAATTGTCTCCCCCTTATGGGAGCGTAGGGGCACGTGCTCCAATAGAATCAGCCCCGACTCAACTTACCAGTCTTGCCTCGCCATTTCCCGTTCCTGGTACTCTTTTAATCATACAAAGTTGTGTGTAGACAGATTTATGGATTCACAGCCTTGGCTACATAAATTTCATATATTCAAATCGGGTTTGATGCTGTCAATTTTCTTTTCAAGTTGAGCACTCTTTCAGTGGGATTTGTTTGGAGATTTTAAGAAGATTTTGATTTGCAATTCCTTTTGGTGTCAAATGAGTTCCGATAGATTTGATCAATTTTGTTTTTGCATCTTTTGTCTTTCGATTGTTGATCGAGTAGTTTGCTTTTGTGGAGAATTTTGCAACTATGTTTGATAGTGTTGAAAGTTTGGATTGATCTTCTCTGACTTTGGGTGTTTGTATTGGTATTTTCTCTTGATTTTCACTCAACTTTATTTTTGATATTGTGAGTTAGAGGGGATTGGTGGTGGAATGTAGAAGTCTGAGGAGAAATGGAAACAAAGAAGGCTTCCTATGCTAAGTTGTGGAGTGCAAGGACGAGGAGAAGAAACAGATGAATAAGGTCAAGTATAAGGTGACGAAAAAGAAGGCTAAGGTAGAGGTTATAGAAGAAAAGACACAACTTCAAATGCTTGTATGTTGAACCGGGGGACAAAGATGGAGATAAGAAGTTGTATAGGTTCTCGAAGGCTAGAATGTGGAAGGTTTGAGACCTGGATCAAGTGAATTGCATCAACAAGGTGTTGGTGGAAGAGACACTCATTAGACAAAGATGACAAGTATACTTGCATACTCTTGAATGAAGAAAAGGATAAAGACTTGGTGCTTGGTGATTTAGAGCACTCAGAGAGACATTAAAATTTTGGGTAGTTTAGGTGTTTTATGCTTGAGGAGGGTAAGCTTGGTATTTACTTGAGGAGTAGGGGAAGAGCGACCTAACTAGATAAGATTCTGGTAGTGTTTTAGTTTTAGAAGGGCATAAACAAGGTAGACATGGAGTGATTAATTGGGTTGTTTAATGTCATTTTAAGATAACAAAAGTGCTTGAAGAATGAAGGTGGAGTATGATAGTTGTGTCGTAAAAGAACAAGGGTTATACCATCCCTTTTTGGAGGTAGCCAACATCCCTTAATGTTGAAGAATTCAACCTTACCAATTTTTTTTTTAAAAGAAAAACAAAAAAAAACAAGGGTTATATCCAAAATTGTAATTGTTATTAGTTGTTAAACCACCCTATGAAATTCTGGGAGAGACGGGGGAAGATGAGAATTAGGAGGGATGTGTCCATTTTCGAGAACTAGTTCAGGTTCAAGCCAGGGCAATCTACAGCAGAAGTCATCCATCTTGTGAGGAGATTGGTGGAGAAATATGAGGAAACAAAGAGGGATTTACATATTGTGTTTATTGACCTTGAAAAGGCCTACAACAAAGTTATGAGAGAAGTCTGCTATAGATGCTTGGAGGCTAGAGGTGTACCAGTGGTTTGTATTAGCGTAGTGAAGGACATGTATGATGGAGTCAAGACCCATATTAGAATGGTGGGAGAACACTCGGAACACTATCCAGTTGAGATGGGGTTGTACCAGGGATCAACACTTAGCGTGTTTCTATTTGCCTTGTTGATGAATGAATTAATGAGATACATCCAAGATAAAGTGCTATGGTGAATGTTATTGGCAGTTGATATCTAATTTATTTAACACGCAACAGGGTTAATGCTAGGTTGGAGGTGTTGGAACAAACTTTGGAGTTATAAGGGTTGAGGTAGAGCACAAACAAAATGGAATATTTAGCGAGCAAATTTAGCGGTGCAATGCATGAGGTAAATTTGCAAGTGAGGCTTAACTGAAAAACTATCCCCAAGAGAGTTTCATGTATCTTGGGTTCTTAATTCTTGGAAGTAGGGGCATCAACGATGTCACACCATACTGGTGCTCTGTGAATGAACTAGAGCCTTGCCTTCGGAGTCTTCTCGAACAAAAAGGTACCACCTAAACAGAAAGGTAAATTCTATAGAGTGGTAGTTAGACCGACTGTGTTGTATGGGAGTGGGGGGTGGGAATGCTAGCTAGTCAAAAAATTTCAAGTTCAAAAGATGCAAGTTGTGGAAATAAGGATTCTAAGATGGATGTGTGGGCATATTAGAAGCGATGAAATTAGGAACGAAAATATTTGAGCCAAGATGAGAGTGGCCTCCATGGTGGACAAGATGAGGAAAGTGAGGCTAAGATAGTTTGGCCATATGAAGAGGAGATGCACAGGTACCCTAGTGCGAAGGTCCGAGAAGTTTGATGTAGTGGACACAAGGACAGATAGAGGTAGGCCAAAAAGTATTGGAGAAAGGTGATTAGAAAGGACATGGTATAACTGCAACTTACCGAGGACATGACCTTAAAGAGAGGAGGTATACTTCAAAAAAGGGTATCGTTATTCACATGATGTTCATTGATACCTTATGTCCGCTGATGTGACATTTTTTTGAGTCTTAGCCTTACTATACATCTTCTAATCATGTTGATGTATCTATGGTCTTGTCCATGCCTCAAGTTTTACATGTACCTACTTTTGAGGAATCTACGGTTACTTCTACATCTCCAATTGTAGTGTCGCCACTCCTAACTTATCATCGCCGTCCGCGTCCAGCGCTAGTCCCGGATGATTCATGTCATGTGTCGGCCCCTGCTCCTATTGTGGACTTGCCTCCTCCTAGCCAACCGCTTGCACTTCAAAAAGGTGTACGATTCACTCGAAATACTAACCCTCATTACACCTTCTTGAGTTATCATTGTCTATCATCACCCCATTATGCCTTTGTATCGTCTTTGTCCTCTATTTCCATTTCTAAGGCTACAGGTGAAGCACTTTCTCATTGTGGATGGAGGCATGCTATGATTGATGAGATGTTTTCTTTGCATAAGACTGATACTTGAGAGCTTGTCTCCCTTCCTCCCGGTAAATTTATTGTTGGTTGGTCTAGACAGTTAGGTTGAACGACTTACTGCTCACCTTGTTTCCAAAGGGTATACTAAGATATTTGGGCTAGATTATAGTGACACTTTTGCTCCTATGGCCAAAATAGCAAATGACCGTCGTTTTCTATCTATGGTTGTCGTTCGTCATTGGCCTTTTCATCAGCTGGACATTAAGAATGCTTTTCTGCGTAGTGTTATTGAGGAAGAAGTCTATATGGAGCAAACACCTAGTTTCGTTGCTCAGGGGGAGTCCAGTATGCAGTAGCCTTGTGTGTCAATTGCATAGCTCACACTATGGTTTGAAACAACTTCCTAAAGCTTGGTTAGGGAAGTTCAACAGAGTAATTCAGTAGTTTTGCATGACTCGTAGTGGAGCTGATCACTCTTTTATCGACATGATGCAGCAAATCGATGTATCTATTTGGTTGTTTACCTTGATGAAATTGTTATCACTGGTAATGATGAAGATGGTTTCACCAAATTGAATCAACATCTCTTTAAGCACTTCCTGGCTAAAGACCTTGGTAAATTGAATTTTTTTAACGCATTGAGGATGCTCAGTCCATATTAGCTCTTGTTATTTCTCAACTCAAGAATGCCTTAGGGCTTAGACATTCTTGAGGAGACCAGAATGATGAGATGTAGACCTATTGGCACTCCTATGGATCCAAATGTTAAACTCCTTCCAGGATAAGGGGAGTCACATAGTAATCCTGAAAGGTATAGACGGCTCGTTGGAAAGTTGAATTATCTCACAGTAACTAGCCCTAACATCTCTTTCTTGTGAGTGTTGTAAATCAGTTTATGACTTCCCCTTGTGATAGTCATTAGGATGCAGTTGTTCGTGTCCTGCGATATATAAAGTCAGCTCCCATTAAAGGACTACTTTATGAGGATCATGGCCATAAGCATATCAATAGACAAACAGACGCGGACTTGGCAGAATCACCCTCTGATAGACGTTTGACATTCGGATATTGTATTTTGTAGGAGGTAATTTGGTGTCGTGGAAAAATAAGAAACATAGGGTGGTTGCTCAATCTAGTACAGAACTAGAATATCGAGCAATGGCGACAACAACTTATGAATTAGTTTGGATCAAAAAGTTGAGAGAACTAAAAATTGGTGAAATTGATTGGATGGAACTTGCTTGTGATAATCAAGCAACTTTTATATCGCATCAAATCCGTTGTCATGAAAGGACTAAGCACATTGAGATTCATTTTGTTAGAGTAAAGATATTGTCAGGAGATATTGTTACGAAATTTGTGAAGTCAAATGATCAGGTTGCAAATTATCTTCACCAAGTCCCTCCCAGGCCCTTGTATTAATTACATCTGTAACAAACTAGGTACATATGATTTGTATGCACTAGCTTGAGGGGGAGTCTTAGAATAGAAATAAGTATAACCATTCCTACTTAGAATAGGAATCCTAGTTGGAAAAGGATTCCAATGTAGTGTCTATAAGTAGAGTAGGGCCTCGATGTAACAATTTAGATACACAATTCAATAATATTTTTCCCATATATTTCTCACAGGTATGATGGTCAAGTTGCCCTTCTATCGCCTCAATCCGATTTATCATTAAAGAGCTAAATATATTGAGTTAAATGCGATTATATTCATGAGAAGATCTAGAAATACGTGATATTCATTGCTGCGTGAAGACGAGAGCAACTAGCTGATTTGTTCACAAATGCTTTGAATGGAGGTTAAGTTGGTTATCTGTGGAACAATAAGGCATGATCAATGTCTATACTCCAACTTGAGGGGGGTATTCGAGATGGCATGTGGATACTCTTTTGTATAATATACATAGCATAGCCCATCTTTAGGGATGGATAGAATTTCTCTTTTGATTATTTTCTTAATGGCATAGCAGTAAATGTTTGTGTACCTATCACATTGTGGAATGCATGACAAGGAAATCCACATTCTTGTGTACTTACATAGATCATTGTACTTATTTGAAGCCATATTCTTCTAAGTTTATTGTACTTGCTCCTCTATTACTATTTCCTTAGGTTTCTATCATGGTTCAGCTTTATGCCTTATATGACGTCCTTTTGTTTGTTTTATACTATACAGGTTTGAGTTTTGGAATGGAGGCTATAATGGCTTTAGATGGAACCTTGCTGCTAGAAGAGATTGTCCAAGCAAAAGAGGTACCAGCCTTTGATCCAATTTACTATAGGCTAGTACGTTCATAGAACAGGGAAATTCTCCAAAACTGCATAAATCAGTGTTTAGGAAAGCATGCAAGCGATGAAGCGAAGTGATGCGAGCCTTCTACGCTTCACAGACTAGAATGAGTATGTGAGCTCTTCAACGCTTAAAGTGTGAAACGAGGCCTTATCGCTTTTTTCTGCTTCACGCTTCCCTGAACACTGACATAAAGTTGTTAGGTAGAAAAAAAAGAGGCACGTTTTCTTGTTGCTAAAATGACTGATAACATGTTAACAAGGTTGTTCAACCAAGCCAGTCTCAATACAAAGCTCTTTTTCATTCAAGATGGAGTCATATTTTGATGGTTAATAATTATTAATTGGTATATGTCTACAAGCAGTATGGTGGCAAAAGAATAATTACATTTGAGATTCTTTATTTTGTTTCAGAACTGTTATCCTTCATATATCACTCGATCAACTTAATTTTATATCATATTCCTTCAGTTGGTAATGGTATAGTAAGTTGTTCTTTTGTCTATATTTGGTTTGCCATCAGTGTTTCCTTTTAGTTCCGGTACTTCTTTCAAATGTCATTAGAATATGTGACAGGCTGGACCTCTGGGGCAATGCAAATAGGCTTGTTTACACTTTTTAATGCTTTATTTCTCATCTCTCATTTGCTATGTGTCCCATTTCCCGGCATGACTTGAATAATATTCCTGCAGCACTTGCGTGCACAATATGATGAACTATTTCCATCCCTATGCAATGATCACCCAGATGTATTTCCTCCGGAGCAATACAGATGGGAGCAGTTCTTATGGGCTTGTGAACTTTGGTACTCCAATAGCATGAAAATTATGTTTACTGATGGAAAGCTAAGAACCTGCTTGATTCCAATTGCAGGTTTTCTTAATCATTCGGTAAGTTTATTCTTCCCTATAGTATATTTTCTTTCCCTTCATGTGGTTGATATTGCTGGTAACGGGGAACTGTAATATTCCAGAGCTAGAATTTTACTTGCTGACTTGAGCTCTTGTAACATGCCATCTGTGTCTCCGAAAGTTTAAATATCAAAAATTGGAATATCTGTTGTGTTCTGAGTATTTTAGGTGGAGTATAATACAGAAATTTTATATATCAGGTTCTTCACATACAAATTTTGACATCTTCCTCATTATGCTCACTTCTCTTTCCTTCAGACTTGTCCACACATAATGCACTATGGGAAAGTTGATTCCACGACAAATTCTATAAAATTTCCTTTGTCAAGGTCGTGTAATGCAGGGCAACAATGTTTTCTTGGCTACGGGAGCTTCTCTAGTTCTCATCTACTGACCTTCTATGGTTTTCTACCACAACTAGATAACTACTATGATGTGATTCCGCTAGGTAATTCCGTCTATGTCAAGATCTCTTTACACCTAAATACAGTAATTTCATGGGCACTCCTGTAATTATTGTTTGAACAAGGGCATGTTTTCCTGGCAGATATTGATGTTGCAAGCAATGATGATTGTGCAGACACAGACCCTACACCTGATTGGACCTCCCATATGGTCCGTGGAACTTGGTTCTCAAAGAATCACGGCATCTTCCATTATGGGTTACCAGCGCCTCTACTGGATCGTATGCGTAGATCTCGGAATCCTTCCTTGCAGTCGATGACCCTTGTAATCCCACATTTATTTTTCTGTCACGGCTTTTCTTATCCTGTAACCCTTATATATGTTGCATACTTTCTTCATTTTATCAAGTCTCCCTTGTATATGTTGCATACTTTCTTCATTTTATCAAGTTTTTCTTCCTCTTATCTAATCAGCTATATGATTTACTTCACCTGAAATACATATATCAATCTTTACAGACACCAGAGAACTTAGAAATTGAACTCGACATACTTAGGGACCTTTGTTCTATGTTCGAAGAGATGCGGGATGGACTAGGAGATCCTGAATTGGATAACAGGTAACGAACAACATTTCATTCTAGAGAGATGAATTGCATTGGCCTAACCAAAATGTACTTTAACATATCAGGGAGACCACAAGTTGTGATGTAAAGCTTGCAGTGGATTTCAAAGATTTACAGAGGAGGATTTTTTCCTCCATTGTTGCTTCATGTCAGGCAGGATGTGAGTTGGTAGAATGTGAACTGCAAATATACACATTATAACAACAGTGCTGAAGCTCTTCTATGTTTTAGAATTGTTAAATTATTATTGCAAGTTATTTTATTTAGATGAATCTAGTCAACTGGTTAGCCCTTTTAATTAGGAGTTGAATTCTATTTGAATTTTGAATAAGTTGTATTTTACACACTTTAGGAGTGGTATTTTCAATACATCTTTTTGTTTATTTTTAGGTTTAGAAGTTAATAGTTTTATTATAAATTGCATTCTTAGACTGTCCTAAAATATGTCAAAATATCTACTCATTTTATAAGTTCCGTTTCTTGTTTTTCATTCTTCCAATATTTTTATTCTTTTAAAATTCTTCTTTTCTAAAACCAACAATTGGTATCTAGAACCATTTTCTCAGGGGACCTGAGTGAAGAGATGAATTTTGAAAATAGTTTTTCACAAATGACATGCATTTTACATGGTGAAAATTATCAATAACGGGCAGTAAGAATGGAAACATATTATGAGGCTCTTAATCTTTGGAAAGATTTTGAAGATGATTATGAAATTAATCCGTTGCCAAAAAATTTCACCATAGCTCAAATTAAGAGTCACAAGAAAAAGAAAGTTGCGAAGTCTAAGTTGAAGGGAATTTGTTTGTTGATGTTTCCGACTTCCAGTAACTATTTTCATAAGAATTGTGCCTCTCGCATCACCAAAAGAACTATGAGATTATCTAAAGAACGTGTTGGAGATGAAAGAACTTGGGAAATATAAGTATTGAATTTAACAAGGGAGTTCGAGTTACAGTGAGTGAATAAAAGACTCTGAGAAAGTTGAAGAATATTCAAACAGATTGCTTTGAATAGTTCCCTCCAACAAATAAGGTGGAGTGGGCAAGGTAGAGAATATAGGAAAAAACAAGCTCAAACTTCAACATTTCCATGCTTGTTCTAGTAAAGGAAGCATTTCTTGTGAATAAACTGGAATTTGATTGGGAGCTAAGAGAAATTAGAAACCAGTGTGTGGCTAGGCATCTTTTGCTCTCTCTTGTAACAAGGTAAGTTTACTAATTATTGAATTTAAAGATTCAAGAATTCTTGAAAACAATTTTTGTTACAATGCCAAAAGATATGAAGTACGTATAACTTGATATAATTGTTAAATTATTTTTAGGCATAGAAACATAGAAGACTTATGAGGCAAGTTGGTATGGTTGAAGGAGCCTTAGCAGCCAACCATAAAGCTCGAAATAGGGGTAAAAATTACAAAAAATTACCCACCTCGTGAGAATTGTGGAAAAATTAGTCATCCTCCAGACAAATGTTGGAAACGGTAAGACATGTAGTGTAGAAAGTGCAATCAACTTGGCCATGAAGCAATGATTTGAAATATAAATTTGAGGACCATGAAATAGATGTACGTATGGCGAATAAAGAAGAAGACCATCTTTTTGTTGCAACATGTATCTCAAGTATGGCTTCGACAAATTTTTGGTTGATATATAGTGATTGTACTAAAGACATCACTTAGGACAAGAGTTCGTTTAAGAAAATAAAGCTTATTAAAATATCCGAAATTAGGATTGTAAATGGTGATCAAATTTTTTTGTTGAAAAAACAAAAGAAACTATTGTCATCAAAATACGTCCAGGTAATAAGAGGTCATTTCAGATATTCTTTATGTACCTAATATTGATCAAAACTTGTTGAGTATTTGTTAGTTGGTAGAAAAAGGGATACAAACTATCTTTTTGAGGACAAGCATTGCTTCATGTTGGTGTTGGATAAGAAGTTTAAAATTTTAATGTCGACCCTCGATCCTACATCCTAGACGTAACCGACACTCGAGAAGTTCAAAATTTTAATGGCGACCCTCGATCCTACATCCTAGACGTAACCGACAATCGAGAACCATTGTTGCTCCAGAATCGAACCCTTGGCCAGGCTCATTACTCAGTGGACGACTTACTCAATAGTGTACGAACTCAAAAGTAAAGGTTTCTCAAAAAGTCTCAAAGTAAATAACTCAGAATATTTAGAAAAACATTCAACTAGCCAAAAATTACAACTCAAGTCTTGAGCATTAACAATTGAAATGGAAAAGACTCCTCAAAATACTACTGTCTGTGAAGCCTTTAATAACTATGATGGAAGTCGGGACAAGACCCTGGACATCCTAACAAGTCTGAAAGTAAATGTGGAACCCTCTAGGAGCAAGGAGGCTTACCAAAGTTAACTAGGGGTGCAAGTGGTACCAATGAATTGACTGCTGATGACCCTGAATACCTGTATTTACATCATTAAAAGGTGCAAGCTAAATGACGTCAATACGTTGAATATACGAGTATGCAAGGAGGACTCTAAAACATAGACATAAGCTTGAACTGATAAAAAGGAAAAACATACTCACCTCATCTCAACTCAACTCAACTCAAGGATACTTAACTCAGAAATACTCAACTATATTCAATATAAAAGCAACAATAAAGATGCAGCGTAAAGAAAGTTTTCAAACGCTAGATAATAACTCAAATGTATATAAAATACAATAGTAATCTCTTTACTCTTATTTGGGAAATTCTCTAACCAATAACCATTACTATGAGCTATCTGATGATATAACGTCTCATCCATGCAGCCAAAACTGTCATATACCTTTCCAGAGTATAAAACATCCTCAACTAAGTGGATCCACTAAGTTATGCTTAAAAATAAATAAAGAAACATCCAAAAAGTATGACCCTTTACCCATGTTGGCATACATGGTTTATAAGGACTTTTATTTTTCTAAACTCATCTTCATATCGGTGATCAATACTACTTCAAATAATCTAACTCATGCTCAAAAGCTTTTCGTAAAAGATAGATGCTCAAAAACTCCTCATGAACCCATTTGAAAATCAAGGTTTCCTCTCATTTTTAAATGTAAAACATTTACATTCGGGAATACTTAGTTCCCCTATATTCATTTCAGAAACATGGACTCAACTCTCCTCATGCTCAAGAACTCAAGTCTTAAAACAAGTTCTAAAAATTCGTTAAAGACAGGACTTAAAGGACTCCCTCAAACTTTACTGTTAACTCTATCTTGAATTTGAAAAATGAATTCAAGAATTATGATTAGGATATATAGTACTTCTCTATGATTAAATGTTTTGGATAGTTATAATCATAAAGATTGCAAAAGACAAATTTTAAAAAAACTCAGACGGAACTGTAAAAGACTCTAGAAGTCTAAAGTCTAATATAGAGCCTAACACGAGAGTCTAAGAGTTGTAACACTGTTTTAAGGTCAATTATAATGTATATAATTCATTTAGGAAGTTTTAGAATCGAAACGTCAAAGAACGTCCATGACGTCTGGAAACTAGTTTAAGAGGTTTTAGCGTGCCTTAGCCTATTTGATTAAGTTTTAAGAGTTGGAAAATGATGAAACTTGGTTGTAAGGTGTATAACACGTACTAGAGTTAGTTTACTATCGAAACTTCTGGGTACGACTCCCCAAGGACCAACCAAGGGCGCTTGAGGAGGACCCTTGCAATTTGGCAAAAACTGTCAAAGGCAGTGTCCATCAACGAGTTGCAGGCGACGAGCCGTTGGAGGATCGATGGGGTGTCGATGGTTCCGTCGATGAAGACTTAGCCAAATTTTAGAAGGGTTCATTTTGGCAAATATCTGACCAAAACTACGGGTGTGCATCACAGAAGCCACACTGCCCGTCGACTGACCTATGTCCCGTCGGTCGAGGTCTCATAGGTTAGGCCCCTGTGTTGCTGCCTTGTTCTAATTAATTCATTTAGTTAGTTAGTTTATTTAGGAGGTTAATTAGGGATTACAGTATGGTTAATTAAGTTAGTCAAGTCCCTATATATACTACCCTAAGCCTAAAACCTCACTTAACTCTCATAATTTTCCAAACCCAAATTGCTCATCCTTCTCTCTTCTTTCTCTTCCAAACAAACCCCATTGAAGACCAAGAAAAAGAGGGTTCTAGGGCTTTCAAATATCAAGTTTTCTCCATCAAACTTCATCAACTAGTAATGTATGAGCTTCCTTTCACCTTCGGGATCTCTTTCCCCAAAGGGCTCCTCCAAATTGATTTAAAAATATGAAATTCAAGTGGGTTTACTTCCAATACAGAATTGATCCTGTGAATTGATTTTTTTATGATTTATTTTGGTTATTATGAGTAGATTAACATATATTATGATTACATTATACTAATTCTTTATGAATTGACCTAGTTGTGGAAGTTGATCTTTTCCTCTTAACCCTAGGTTCTAATCTTGAATTGAATCATATAGTATTGATATAATTGGCTTGATTAGTGTGTCAATAAATATCCTATGTTTTTATCATGCTAATTTATGAGTAGATTGTAATCCAATTATTCTATTTCTTGAGTAATTGAGTTAAGTTGTAAAGTAGATCATGAATTTGACCTAAGTCTATAATTCTAGGAACTTGTGATAAATTATTGTGTAGTGATTTAGTGATGAATTGTTGTGTAGTGATTCAGTTGACTTCATTATTATTTTGATTACTATTGTGCGATGGCATTACATCCATTTTTGGGTTGAATTGGATGGTTGATGGTAAGCCTTGATGATGGCATTGTGAAGGAGAATGGGTAAGTCTTGTGATCTCAATTCTTTACTTCAATTATCATTACTTGTGATAAAGTGATGATGTTGTATTGAAGTATACCTTATGTTAGGATTGATAGGGTTGGTATGAAGTTGAATTAGAATGTCTTGAACTATGGATTGTGAGTTGTTGGCTAAGATGTAAATGTTATAAGAATTGTGATAACTTACCAATGTGCCTTATTATGATGTGTCTATGTAAAAATGTGGTAACCTCACACGTATAAATTTTAATGAAAGGAAAATACTCATGCAATTGTTATTGAGCTATGATGACAATGATTATATAAGGGATAAACCCTATAACCTACACTAAGCTATGATGATTAATAAAGACATTAAAAGCATTTCAAAAGGTACTCTAACTTATCATAGAGTGAACTAGAGAGAGGAGTGTCCCTTGAGGATATGCTTAGAGCTTGTATAATAGATTTCAAGGGAAATTGGGATAAACACTTGCCTTTTGTTGAGTTTTCTTAAAACAATAGTTACCATTCATCTATATCTATGGCTCCTTATGAAGCCTTGTATGGTAGGAGATGTGGATCTCCCATTGGATGGTTTGAAGTGGGAGAGTATTCACTTTTGGGTCT